ATTTTTTTTACTAATCTTATATTAAGTAAATTAAATCTTTTTATTTAATAGTAATTTGATAATAATAGATAATAGTTTGTTTTATTTAAAATTATTAAAAAAAATATTAATAAAAATTATAAATAATTAATGTTATTAAATATATTAAAATATTACAAATTTAATAATATAATTATTTTGTAATTATTATATATTATTTATATCAAAATTTTTGAAATTTTATTAGTTTATTAATTTTTTAAAGGATTGAATTATAGTTATAAGTTTATATATTATTTACATAGTTATAATTATAAGTTATAATTATATAGTTATAATTAAATTAAAAAAAATAAAAATTATTGTTATATTAATAGTGTGAAGCAGTATATTTATATGGAGTTATGTTACTTTTGGTTGATTATCATTTCGAAGGATGTATAAGAGAGAGATTACTTGTATCCTATTATCGATACAATGCTCAACGTTCATCCTCTACAAGAGTAGATGATGTATGTATGTTATTGCGATCAACAGGATTTTCTAAAATTTCTAATAAACGACCTGCAAATTATCCTGAAGACTATTTTAAGTACGTTTTTAAAATTTTTTCATTTCATAGTGATATACTTTAATATTATTTAAAAAAATTTTACAGAAGAGTATCATTAAATGATTCTTTAATTGAACATATTATTGGACGTTTACGTTCTGATGAAATATATAATCAAAGTCTTGCTTTTCCACACCCAGAACATCGTAGTACTGCTCTCTCTAATCAAGCATCAATGTTAGTTATAATTTTATCATTTAAGCCAATCATGTTACATACTCACACAGCTATAATGAGGGAAATAGTAGATAGATTTTTTCCTGATAATTGGGTAATCAGTATTTATATGGGAATAGTAATAAATTTATGTGATTGGTGGTTACCATATAAAGCAGCAAGAACAGCTCTCAATAATACTTTAGAATCATCAAATGTAAAAGTAATTGCACAAAACTATGGTCAAAAAATGAAGGTAATTAGATTATATAAATAAATAAATAATTAAATAGATTTATATATATATATATATAATATTTAATAATTATATAATAATTTTTAATAATTATATTAAAAATTTATTTTAGAAATTAATATCTGAAACAGAAGAAGTACAATTAGCAGTGACATTAGATGAAAGTGCAATAGGGTCTCTAGTTAAATTAGTAAGGGAATGCAATGTAACATTACATTGGATACTTTTACATACAGCAGTGTCAACTATATCATTAGAAGATTCAAAACGATCACGTATGCTTAAACAATTGATAGTAACTGAAAGCAAATATAATATATCCCATTGTCTTCAATTGTTATTAAGTACTGCTCAGATTGAGCAAAGTGTTAAACATTTATATAAACAAGTATGATTAATAATTTTTGCATTATGTTATTATATATTATGGAAAATATATTATTTATTAAATTTGTTTTTAATTTCTAGTTATTATTTGGTAAAGAAACTAAATGGCTTAGAGATAAAGAAACATGTGTTGAACGTATAACAGATCTTGCACAAATATTTGGAGGTAATAAATCACTTGATGGTATTGAAAGAAATCAAAATCTACATGCATGGTTTTTAGAGATAAGTAAACATATTGATTCATTACAACAAGAAGATGCAAGAAAAATAGTGCAATTGGTACAAGCATTAGAAGAAGTACAAGGTATAATATAATAAAAAATATAATAAAAAGCAAATTGTAAATCGATTCAATTTTTTATTTTGAATTAAATTTATTAATATTAACATATTATATGTTGATATTATATTGAATTTTAAATAATTCCAGAATAATTTATAATAATTCCAGAATTTCATCAATTAGAAAATAATTTACATATATCGCAATATTTAGCTGATACACGGGAAATATTGCATAATATGTTGCGCACAGGAAATATAACAGAAGATACTATGATAAGTTTGAATATAGTGACAGATTGTTGTTATGCATGGAATATAATGGAATCATTTATTGATACTATGCAAGCTAGCATAAAAGAAAATCCTCCTACTGTGATAAAATTAAAAGCACTTTTTTTAAAAGTAAATTTTAACTTAAATTTTTAATTAAATTTTATTTATCATGATATATTTTTATTTTTTTTTTTGTTATTCAAATATTTATGTTTAATTAATTTATTTCAGATGGCTTCAGCTTTAGAAACTCCTTTGTTAAGAGTAAATCAAGCACGGAGTGCAGATTTATCATCAGTATCGCAATATTATAGTAGAGAATTAGAAAAATATGCAAGACGCGTTCTTCAAATAATACCCGAAACTGTATTTGGTTTACTTGCTGAAATAGTGTATCTTGAAACTAATGCTTTTAAAGAAATTCCTACTAAACTCCCAAAAGATAAATTGAAAGATTATGCACAATTAGATGATAGATTAAAAGTATATATATTTTTTTTAATTTTATTTTTTCTAAAAATATAAATTAAATGAAATTCAAAATGAACTTAAATTTATTATTTTCATATATAATAATAAAGAATTATTTTAGATGGCTAAATTAACATATGCTGTATCAGTATTTACAAAGGGAGTATTATCTTTAAGAAGTGTTCCATTAGGTGTATTAAGAGTTGATTCTCATCGTCTTTTGGAAGATGGTATACGACAAGAACTTGTGAAAAAAGTAACATTGGCTTTAGATAGTGGTCTTATTTTTGAACCAAAATCAAAAGTAAATTTTAATTTAAATCTGATTATTATTAAAATATTTTACTAAAATTTGTGATTAATTAAGAGTAAGTCATTCCAGATATCATTGTTACAAAAACTTCATAATTTAGCAGCAATAATAGATGGTTATCGCAAATCGTTTCAGTATATTCAAGATTATATAAACATTAATAGTTTAAAAATATGGCATGAAGAAGTATGTAAATTTTTAAATATTTAATACATGCTAATATAAATTCGTATATACGATTTATTCCTTTGTATTTCTAGATAACATATATTATAAATAATGCAGTGGAAGAAGAATGTATTGGTTCTTCTTGGACTTCAGAAAAGTCATGGAGATATTTCCAAGAAGAAAAACATGTTTCTATTTCAGACAATAACATTACTACTTTTATTGGTAGACTTGCTCGTGAGTTACTTCGAATTACAGATCCTAGGTATCCTTTTTTTTAAAGATATTTAAATTGTAATCTTTTTTCAATATCATTATGATTCAATATCATTATTTTCTATCATTTATCTTTTAAATTATTTATTTTTTTAAATATATAAATTTATAATTCAGTTATAATTCGAATAAATTATTAAATAGTATTCATTATAATCATATATAATCATTATTTTTAGAACAACTATCTATATTGAACATTCTCTTGCCTGGTATGATCTTAAAACGCAAACAGAAGTATTAAATTATAAAATTTTTTCAAAAACATTGGAAGCAATTGGTACACCTGGTTTAACAGGTCTTGACAAACTTATTTCATTTTACATTATAACTGAATTAAACAGTATGATACACTATATAGAAAAAAATATTCGTAATAAAATGTGGTCATCTACAATTGATCATTTTGATACAATATTAAATTCTGTGGATAGTCCTAAAGGTACTATTATTTTATAATATTATTTATATTATTATTATATTATTTATATTATTTATATTATTTATATTACTATAATAATAATAAACATTTAATAATATTAATAATAATAATATTTATTAAATATTATTTATTATTAATAATATTTATTAAATATTTGTATTTAGGTAATATATCAAAATTTCACAGTACTACTCAAACAAGTAAATTTTGTCCTCAACTACTTGAATGGATATTAAAAATTGGGCATTATCAACTTCTTAAGAAAAAAATAGCATATGAATTGAATACTGCTTGTAAATTTGAAGCAAAGCATATGGAAGCAGCATTACAAACATTAAATATGTATGCGTAAATACTTAAAAAAGTACTTTTTTCTTATATTAATCTTCTTATTTTTCATATTTTTATAATTTGTAGAGCTATATTATTTGAAATTAATAAACACAATAATAATGAACAAAATGAAATTGAAAAAAAAGAATTACTACGTGAACTTAATATCAGATTAGATTGGGCTGGTATAAATAATCCTCATAATAATATTTATATTAAATCGCCAAATATAAATAATATTGCTATCATTATGTTTTTACTTACTATATTACAATTACCTAAACTTTACTATTGTAAAAACACAGGTAAAAAATTTAAATATTCATAAAATTTTAATTTATATAAATATATAAAGAATATAAATTAATCATATGCTAATTATAAAATCACAGGAAGTCTTTTGAGTAAAAGACCTCAAGATCCTCTTGATGCTGTAATTTTTGTTATTGGAATACTAACTATTTTACGTCAATGTACTTTTTCTGCAATGACGCGTTATGTTAAATATCTTTGTATATACATCCTTTCGTGTGTTACTTCAGATAGGTATATAAATTTCATATAATATGAAATATAAAAAATATTCATTATCATTATATAAAATATTCATTACATTAATATTATTGCATATTACAGTGTAAAAGCAGGAAGTGATGGAGAATCCGAAATATCTAATATTTTACATATTTTAGAACTGTTTACAAAATATTCTGGTATATCACGATCACTTATACTTAAAGAAATACCTATTATTATCATGGATCATTTTCAAGCAAAAACATCTAAATAATATAAAAATAATATAAAAATAATATAAAAATTAAATATAATATAATTTTTTAACTAAAAATAATTTATATTACGTTAGAATAAAAAAATAAATATCATTTAATTTGTACATGTATTCACATGTAGATCTATATTTTATACATGTATGTACAAAATATAATTATATGTACATGTATTTACGTTTTATATATATATTTTACAAATGCAATATAATTTTTTAACAAAAAATAATTTGCATTACATTAGAATAAAAAAATAAATGTCATTTATTTTCTATATATATATTCTATATACATGTGGATTCATAATTTGTATGTAAATGTATTTTACGTATAGATAATTGTACTAATTTTTGTTAAAAAATGGAAAATAATAAAATTTTATTATTATTATAAAAATCTATAATTATTTTTTAATTTATGAATGTATTATTTATATAAATTAATTATTAAATATTATTATTTTTCCAGTAATTCTTTTATACATAATTGGCGACATTAAAGTACAAAAATAAGAAATTCTTTAAATTTTTTCATTTTTTTTTAATTTTTATTTTAATCTTTAAATTAAATTATATATTATTTTCAATTAAAATATTTATGATTATTTTATATATTTATGATTATATGTTTATGATTATAAAATATTTATGATTATTATATTCTTTATGAGATTATAATAATTAACAAGTTGTTTATATTTTATCATATATTTTATTAAAAATGAAATAAAAATAAAAAATTATTAATGATATTAATGAAATGAAAAATTATGAAAAATTCTTACATTGAAATATTATTTATCACATGTTATTAATATTAATATAATCTTTAGTTAACATTAATATAATCTTAATTATATAGATTTATATAGTAATATAGATTTCTTCAAAATTTAAATAAATCTGAAATTGTACCTGTTCATATCTGCAATAAGAATTTATATACGCATTGGCGGCTGAACACGCTAGAAGCGGCGGCGTTACGGCGCTTATCAAATGATTTTTATCTTATTTTCATTTTAAAATTTAATAAAATATTTATTTTTAAATTCAAACAAATGTTATGATTATTTTATAATACATTCTATGTTATATTATACTTCTTATTTATAAGATAAATAATATAAATGGTTATAATCTGTACGATTTTTGCCGGCTAAAACGGCCGTTGCTACAAACTAGAAATGTTGACGGCCGCTTTTCTTCTTTATAAATTAAAAGAAAACAAAATTTTAAATATTTAATAAAATATTTATATAATTATTAGAAAGCTTATAAAATTAAAATATTTTTTTCTAATATATTATAAATCATTTTAAACTTTATTAAATTCTTTAACGAAGAAATTATATAATAATATGTTTGATAGTTACATGGGCGGCTTGAACGCTGTTGACGCCGTAAGCGGCGGCTGTAACGGCGATGCTGGTGACTTGCTACAAAAGAGACTGCGATAAATTTCGAGCTCAGTCTTTCTTGCTCATACGTGCAGTTACATATCTTATTTATAATTAAAAAATTAAAATTTTATTTTTTAAACTTTAAATGAATGTTGTGATATTAAAAATACATATATACTTTATTATATCTTTAATAATATTGAGAATAATAATTTATTTTCATATTATATTATCTTTTAATAATAATTTTGTATAATATATTATTTCTATTTTAATGTGTATATATTATATATATTATTTTGCAAAATATATTATTTCTATTTTAATATGTGTATATATATATTTCAATGTAAGTATAATAATAAAAAAAAATCTTATTAAAAGATATATATTTGAAATAATATTATGTAAGTAATTAAAAAGTAATTAAAAAATATAAATGCATATAAGTATAATTTATATTTATATTATAATTTTTATGTTTCATCTATAATCGTGATATGTATAAATTTGAATTTCAATTCAATTTTACAATTTAATATATTTCATAAGAAGTTCATCATATCTATAATGATATAATTTATGCTTCAAATATTACAGAATAGGAATGAAATTATATTAATATTAAATTTGTACTCTTCTTTAATATTATTATAATCTTATAATCATTTTATAATCTCAAATTTAAAATTATTGGCTTATATATTATTTAATATATAATTTAATATTTCGTTCCTATAATTTAACAATATATTTATAATAAAAAAAAAAAAGAAACATATGGATAATATTTATAATTATACAATTCAATTAATAAAATCATATTTGTATAACAATTATTTATATTTTCACATTAATTATTCTATATTATGTTTTTAATAAATCCATTTGTTTCTTTTATATAAAAATTTTGTATATAATTTTAAATTTTATATATAATTTTTACAAATATAAATAATATAAAATATATAAATATAATAAATAAATAAATATATATATATATATAAATTTTTTTTTTAATGCAGGAAATATGCGAACAAGCATCATCATTGTTTTGGCTTTTGCTATTGGGATTGTTATAGCTACATCAAGAAATTATAATTATTCTCATTTCATAAAGCATCATGCAGGACCACGAGTAATTCGAGGTTTTAAACCTGAATATATATCTACAGCATATGGTTTTGGAAAAAGACAAAATATTATTGATGTCCCAAAAATTAATAAAAATGAACGAATTTTATCGATACTTCTACGCTATTTTCCACAGGGGTATATTTAATTATTTTATTAATTTAAGTTTATTAAATTATCTTCGTATATTCAACAATAAAAAAATATGAAATTAAAAATAATAAATTAATTGTTTAATATAATTAATATAAAATGATTTAATTTCAGAATTCCTATAGAATGGTTACTTCAACAAATAAAAACAAATCCAACTTTTGCTACAAAATTAACACAAATATTAATGAATGAACGTACTGATCTTACGTCAATGATGGATCGTTCTAATTCAGAAAGAATAACTTGGCTATATTAAGTCTTTTATTATATGATTAAATTATATACACAATTTTTAGCTATATCTTCTAGTTTAATAAATATGCGATATTTAAAAGTCTAATTTAATGTTGTTAATATTATTTTTTTAAAATTTATATAATTTAATTTACACAATAAAAGAAATATTAATTAAATAATGACTCTTTCATATATTGTATTATTTATAAATATTAATATTCTTTTTTCTTTTAATTAATTTAGAAAATTCAATTTAAAAATTAGAATGTAATTGGTTAAGTTTTAACAAATGATTGTATTAATATTGTAAATAATTAATTCGATTTAAAATTAATTAAAGATTTTATATAAGTTATAAAAGATGAATAATGAAAATAGTAAATATTTATTATATCGTTATATTTTTTTATGTAAATAAAATTTTATTCAATTTTATTCAATACATTCAATTTTTAATCATAAATCTTATGTGAATTTATATTGTTAAATCATTGTTGCCAACTAATAAAATCTCAAAAATAAGCAGAAGAACAAAAGATATATAGTTTCAGGGTGTGACTACTATCTATCTTAAGAATAATCAATGGTTTACAATCCAGAAGGTCTTTCGGTTTTTGCGCTTTATGAGATTTTTCGTTTGTGCATTGTCCTGTTTAAAAGCCTACAATAAATAATTGATTCGAAACGTAAAATTATTTAATTTTGGAATAAAATTAATCAGAAAAACATTAAAAGAATAACAAAAACGAAAACTTTATTTCGTAAACTTGAGTGACGCCGGCCACCTTAAGCCTCGGAGTCTTAAAGTCTCGAAAGGCCCACAGACATACGTGCGATAAAGGTAAGAATTCCACGAGATATTTTCAGCAATATATTTTTTATAATTTATATATGAAATTCTATGACATTCCTCGTTTAAAATTCTACAGATTGGTTTGCAATAATATTTAATAATATTACATTGTTAACCTCAAAAATATTTACAATATTTAAAGGAACTTGGAGTTAATTTAATAACTAATGCGTATTATAGGATTATAACCGCTTTTTAAAATAATTAAAAATTTTTGTTTTATTGTATATTAATTTTAATTTTCTTCATTACTTTTGTATTTGGTAATGTTCAAAATTATATTTATGCATAGATACATATAGTCCTATGTGAATGTGTTGATTTAAAATTTTATTATGGATTATAAGCAATTGCTTGTATATTCTATGAAATAAGAAATATAATTCATGAATGGTATGTGAAAACTATTTATAGTATAAAATTACCACCACCATTATTATTGCTATATTATTATTACTATTACTACCCTCTTTCCCTCTCCTCTCTCTCTCTCTCTCTCTCTCTCGCTCGCTCGCTCACTCACTCGCTCACTCACTCACTCACTCGCTCACTCACTCGCTCACTCACTCACTCACTCGCTCACTCACTCGCTCACTCGCTCACTCACTCG